TTCCTCTCCTTCTGGTTGATAGGGATCTATCTCCTGGTCTAAGCAGAAAGCCCACCATTGTCTTAACGGCCCTGCGTATTGTTTATGAGTTGACTTCGTTATCGAGGCTTCGAATATATCTAGCGACGATCCTGGCAATCCTCTTCTTCTAAAAGACTCCCTGATAATATGCCTACCATCAGGGACAACTTCCTTGCTAGTGGATGGTGAATGGATCTACAAGAGGAAATAAGCAATGTAGGCGACGGTCGAAAGATTAAAGGTTTCTTTAACAATAACTTCATAAATAATGGAAACCATAGCTGGCTACTCCAGAGGGGAACTACTACTATCCCTGTGGCCTTATCTACCACAATCTTTTTTAAGACTCTTAAAATGAGAGCAAATGGTGGAAAAGCCCAAAACAATCCTAGGGAATGCCAATCCTTGGTGAACGCGTCAATTGCAAGTGCCTCCGGATCGTTTTCCCAAGAAAAATATCTTTCGCATTTTGTATTACATCGCGTGGCGAATAAGTCAATCCTTGGTTCTCCGAACTCTCCTACCGCCCGCCGAAACGCGTAGTCAGCCAATTCCCATTCCGTATCTATGTTTTTTACCCGCGATTCTCGGTCGGCCTCTACGTTTTCCTCGGATTTTATGTACGAGGCCACTAACCAGATATCTCTCGACTCACACCACTGCCAGATCTCTTCTGCAATCCTATGTAAATTAGGATGTTGCACTCCTCCCATTTTATTTACATATGATACCGCCGTGGTGTTATCTATACGCAGAAGAATTTCACAATTTCTAATATTCTTTGCAAAGCTTTTTATCGCGAATAGGGCTGCCATCAGTTCTAACCTATTAATGTGTAACTTTTTTTCTTTCTCCGTCCAAAAACCTCGAGCTATCTTTCCTTCACAGAACGCGCCCCATCCCGTAGTGGAGGCGTCCGAGAAAATTTCGTGTCTATAATTGCCTTGTCTAATAGGGTTCGAGGATCTTAGAATATTTATTTTCCACCAAGTGAAAACTGCCTTAAGTTTCCTTGGAATACGCATTTTTGCATCATAATTATCGTTATTCTTAAATAATTCTAAATACCTAACTCTCTCAAGACTTCTAGTATATAATCTGCCATATTTTACTGCTGGGCAAGCTGCATTAATCGAGCCCACAAAACTGGACCATTGTCTAATAGAAACTATTTTTCCTGGACTAAATTTTTCCAAAAACCCAAGTAATTTTTGTTTTTTGTCTTTAGGCAATTCTAATGACATTTTTATAGTGTCATACATAATTCCTAAGAATTCTGTCTTTTGTTCGGGATCCAACTTACTTTTAGCGTAATTAATTATGAATCCTAATCTTTCCAACACCTCAATTGATGCTTTCACATTATGAACACATTCCTGTCTAGATGATGACACCAGGAGCATGTCGTCTAAATAAATAACCGAAGAGTACCCTTGTTTACGCAGATAAGTCACTATTGGTTTCAGAATTTTTGTGAATATGTATGGGGCTACGTTAAGTCCAAACGGTAGGCATAAAAATTCAAAATACTGGCCTTGGAAAATGAATCTTAGATATTTAGATGAATTTTCATCTATTGGAATCAGAAAATACGCATTTTCTAAATCTAGTTTTGCTAGAAAATCGTTTTTTGAGATTAATTTTGTTACTGCGCGACTGTCTTCTAACTTAAAGTGCGTTGTTTGTATAAATTCATTTAGCTTTTTGAGATTTAACACAAATCTGTCTGATCCGTCCGCTTTTGGAACTAAAAAATACGATGAAACAAACTGTGGCTTCTCTGCGATACAGGGCCTAATAGCTCCTAACTTTAATAATTTATTTATCGCTTCCCTAACATCGTCTAAAGACTGCGAGCCCTGTAGTAATGGCGCCGTTGGTACTTGTGTCTGAAACGGCTGAGACGTAAACCGAATTTTGTATCCTTTGATAGAATTAATAACAAACTTATTGTTAGTGATCGATTTCCATTCCTCAACGAAGTATTTTAGACGACCAGCCACTCTCACCTCTAATGCTTGTGGAGATCTGATCTCGTCGACCTTGTGGACGTTCTCCTGTTCCACTGCGAATTTCTCTGGCGGTCTTTGAACCGTAGAGATTTTTGAGGGCCTCCTTTCCACGCCTGCTGCGAGTGACCCTTGGACTTCTGCGGCAGGCTTTTCCTGTTTCCCCAGTTTGACATTCTCAGGGGCTTCTTGACCTGTTGGTGAGGAGTAAGATCCTCTACTACCTTACCCAGGGACTTTGTCTGCTTAATTCGTTTAAACAATTCATTGCCAAACAGTTCCTTCGTTATTTCAGACTTTTTTAATACTTCCCTGTATTTTTCTTCAATGCCGGGTAGAATAAATGCTCTTCTCATTGTGGATTGTTGATAATGCAATCCAGCTAATAGTTTGCCTGCGTTACCCAAGTTTTGTAGGAGGGCACTGGATATGTCCCCTTCTTCAAGTTCCAAAAGTAGGGAGATACCTTTAGCTATAGCTATCATTGCGGAGCCCAATGCATTTTGAGAAGACACAAAATGCTTGTCTCTGGTCTTCGCTACTCCTGACATGTAAGCCAGAATTTCAGGATTCAACTTAGGAGCTTCTACGTACAACATTCCTTTTCGAAAGAATTTTTTCATGACTTCTTCTCGTACTTTCCCCTCTTCCTCTTCTCGCTTCTTGTGATCATCTTCTTCTCCTTCATATAGCCCTTTACGCATCCAACTCATCCATTCTGTAACCAGCACCGGATGCAGAGCAATGTCATCCGACTGAGCTGGTTCTGTTTTTAAACATAACCTCTCTCTAGTCTCATTGCTGAGGCTTCTGGCTGTCTCCGGTGTCTCCTCTTTTGTTGACTTAGTCTCCTCACTCGTGTCTGATTCTCCCTCTGACGTGGAAGAATTTGATCTTTCCTTCCCTTCACTCGCGTCCTCTTCCACAAGGTCCTCTACGAGGTCACTTGTGGCAGCTGCTTAACATAAATGAAAAATTTTTTGTATAACAGCTGACTCGCCTATGTACGACATGTCCCTCCTCTAGTGAGGGCTCGTCGTCGCGAGATTTTTACTATCGTGCGATCTGTCCTTCCTCTCGTGAAGGCTCATCGCCGAGGATCGTGCGATCTGTCCTTCCTCTCGTGAAGGCTCATCGCCGAGAATCATGCGATCTGTCCTTCCTCTCGTGAAGGCTCATCGCTAGGACTTTTTGCGAGTGTATTTGTGCACTTACCATTTCCCTTATCCTTCTCGAGATCTTGTGCCGCATTAACAACAATGGCTGCCGGAGGTTCCTTAACCTCCTCGATCGTTTCCTTCTTAAGCTTCCGTAACTTTTTTCGCAGACTTCTCATCTGCTTGTATATTCCGTCTAGATCGTCGTCGGTCACTTTCCTTTTCGACATCCTCAATACTATATATGCAAATATATGTATCTCTGCTTAATTTCCTCTACAATCACTCTATGATGTGGCTCCTTTGAGCACAAAAAACGTTATGAAGTAGAGAAGCATGCATGGGTTAAAGGAAGAAAAAATTCACTCTTAAGATTGTGGCGCCACGAGCGGGAAAGGCGGTACTACACGTATAATCGCGAGAACGAGACCCGAATATAACTATCTAAATTGGTTTGTCTACCGCGCGGTAGAATCTATCTTCCTGAATAGTACAATCGAATATCGTTTACGTCACCGCGTACAATCGCCTTGTGTATTCTTGATAATGTCTTACAGTTCCAGTTTTTATCAAGCAAATTTATATCAATAAAAAAAGATAATAAAACTTGTTTATACCGAAATGATATTTTAATCATTTATCGATTTAACTTCTCGAAATATTATATATATATACGCTTTTATCTCTAATAATAAAATCCCAAGTTATCGAGTTTCAAAATTTGATTGGAAACGCCGCTCGCTGTTATTGTCCAACAAAAATTCGTCCCTGCTGTGACGATCGCCAGAAAGCATGTGAACTCGTGTCTCGCCGAGCAAGTGCTAAGGGGCGACTAATGGAAGTCGGAAACCCGGAACCGGAAACGGGCACCGGCCATTCACTCGTGCAGTTCGCATTCGTGCGAGCGAACGACCGGCTCGCAAAGTTCGCGTATGCGCGCGAAACGAAATCATATCGATGTTCGCGACTTACCTTGCGTGCTGCCGTTGAGCTGGCCGGCCTGCTGTGGTATGCCGGGATAGAGGGGCGAGGGATGGGGCGACGGTTGATTGCTGCTGGGCGGTCCTGCAGTAGAATGCGGGGTGGCAGTCGTCGGGGTCGGCGCGGCCGAAGGTACCAGTTGCTGGGATTGCTGCACGTTGCTGGCGGACGTGGGTGTTATCGCGGGGTTGCCTTCGCCACCCCCGGTGCCACCAGTCACGGTGCCACCGGATGGTTGCTGTTGCTGCAACGGCGGCTGTTGCTGCTGCTGTTGCTGAGGCGTTTGCTGCGGCGTCGGCGGTTTTTGCGCGTCCATCGCCGGCTCGCTCATTGTTTCTACAACGGGGAAGGATTGGTCCGGTCTTGAATATTAATTCGATCGGATAAACGATGTTTCTTGGGCGGATGTAGTATTTAGGAATGCCACTGGCATTTGGGCGCAATTTGTATTTCGCGAACGTTCGCTATAAGTTGATTTCCGAGGTAGTTACGCGTGAAATTCGCATGATATTGTACGTGTTGGCGAGAACGAAGACATTAGGCTTTAATTAATACACGTTGTGACGCGTGGTAGAAATTCTACTTTTCAACGAGAAGACCACTGGACAGCGGAATGTTAATTAAAATTACAAGATCAGATGTAAAAAAATTATAACAGCATATAAAAACAGATTCGTCAAATTTATGTAGATGGATTCTTTTATTTGACGTAGGAAAAAATCTTGACATCAATCTGGAACTCTTAAGATAAAGAGATTTTCGAATACAGCTGGAGTCATGTTGAAAGTCGAAACAAATAACGAATGTATAGAATATAACAATAATTAGGCAATCGACCGTGAACTATAAATGTCACATTAATTCGATTCACTAAAACAAATACAAAATTACAACCACTTCCCTGTCAGATTACAGAACATATACTCGAGCAAATCAGGAAAGTGGTTAAGTACGATATTTTACGATGGCTGGCAAAACTTTAAAATTTTAGTATCAGCAAAAAAATAAAATTTTATGTAACGGTATACAAATTTTAAATATAAATGTAACGCGTGCTAAAAATACAGAGAATATGAATGCTTTATAAAATATACGTATATCTCAGAAAAAATGTTTATCCTATATATGTGCGCGTAAGATAAAATTTATACCGCAACTCATAACAACTATTTTTTATAGCGCGTACGAAATACGGCTGCATAAAAAAGTCTCTTTAGTGTCAGTTCCTCGAAATGTCGGTGTGTTCGCTTTCGATATGCGCTGGATAATAACGTTGAGCTTTTAATATATCATACTGATATCTGATACTGCTATCGGTGTTTTTCTTTCAATGTTTCACTCCTACGCGGTATCTCTCTACGCTCTCCTCGGCACGTATTCCCGCGTTTCCCGGGTCTCCATCGATTTTGCGCTTAATTTAAATAAACGTATCTCTAGCGTAGTAACCGGTGAGATGACGTGCGTTGATAAATAGCCCTACGGCATCGCCGCCGACTATCATCAAGTTTCGCAACTTCCTGTGATAATCTGATGAAATTGCGAGCAAAATACTTTAATTACAAAAGATACATAGGCGCTACCGCTTCTCTCAAAACTTGTTTCGAAAAGTTTAGACTGTTCGGACTCAGATATGACGAATGGCGAAACTCGCGGAATAGTTTCGGAATCGATAGGATTCCCGAGATTTCCTTGACGAGGGGAGATACAACCGGTAAACTACCATTGTTGTGTGTTAAGTACCGAGGAAAGATGCATTAATCACTCGAGAAGTTCCATTGCCTTGAGCAACGAGAGAAATTAAAGAAATGTTTTGAAATCAACTTCCTTGACACTAATTAGCCTCATCTCGTGTGACCTCGAGCGCATAGAATGTGTCAAAGTCCCAAATTCCTCATCAATTATAGATTTATCGAAAAATTTCAAATCTATATACTTGATTAATGAAAGTTAGTGAAAGAATCTATTAATTACTATATCTTATAAAATAAAAATAATGTAATTATTTTATACCGATACCGAAAATATTTCTCGGAACTTTGTTATGTAAATTGATAACTGCGTCACGGATTCAAAAACAAATAAAAATTTTTCATCAACATTTGTTTTAAACGAGCCAAGTAACTCCACATTCGAACAAAACGTGAAATCGCTCATACAAGTTGTCGGTAAGAAGGATCGCATGCGCATCGTGCCGCGATAATATCAGCGAGTACAGTTATTATCTATGTTACAGATATGGCAAATGATAAGAGATAAACATCTCAAGAAACATAAATTATTCACTAATCGGCTTCGCAATTAATCTCATCATTTTGGCGCAAGGTGCGGCCGGTAGCTAGTCACGACTGCGGAAATTGAGTCCACGTCTGCCACGGTAACGGCTGTAAAACGCAATTACGACCTTTGGCATTGGGCGGCAAGTTGTCGCTATCCTAGCACTCTGTTTCTCGTTTCCTGTGCAGTCTACCGAAGAGGTGGACATCATTTTAGGCGCGTGTGCGCCAGGTAAATGAACTCGGAAATGTGTCTAGCGTGCGTGCAAATTTTAGCACATACAACGAGAAATATCACGATGCAATCGAGAAGAATAATTATAATCGAAAATACGATAAAATTTGTGATTTATTTAGAAAGCAAAGTTGTTATATAAAATGCAAAACGACGATTTCTTTACAAAATAACTAAAGAAATCCGTAATTCAATGTATAAAAGATTAGTATTCGAGCAAAGCCGATAAACGATAAATTATGATAGACAACAAAATATAAGTACAAAAAAGAACTCTCAATCACTTACCATTCTCCGGAAACGACGTTGACCGTATAACGGGCAGCAATATCCCTTTCTGCACCAATTCATCTCTGCTGGCACGTACCGAGATTTTTCTCTCCAGCGCTGTTAACAAAAACAACGAAAACGCGAGCGTCATTAAACTGTTCGCTCTGTTATCTGTAACGCAGTTATAAACGGCGTAATTATTTTCACAGTGCAGCATCATATGTGATAAACGTTTAAAACAATTTTGCTATAATAATTTAATATTCGTTCATGCATAATGCAAATATTTTACAGTTACAAATGTAAATATAATATTCATTATTTTAAAATGCAAAACTTATTTATGCTATATCAATGCCGATTATGAAAATAATGCAATACAAAACCCGCATTGCATTAAATTCTTTATGTTAAAATTATTCATTAAATTCTTTTTATTAAAATGCGTATTCCAATCAAATTAACATAAATTTAAAAAAATTAAATTAAATGTAATTGATGAAGCACATTATTATACTTACATAACGAAGCGGCTTCAAATTTATCCGATTTCTTTTTCCGCTTCCATTTCCAGGGTTTGAAGAGTCTACCGAGGGCCGAAAATTTGCTTTTTCTTTCCAAGGGCGGTGTTCTCGCACCCGAACCCAAACTATTTGTCCGCAGAGCAGCACCATTTTGCTTTTTCGCTGTAACGGAAAGAGAAATAATCGTTAAATTACGCTTAACAATTTTTCACTTATATCATCACTATTACGTGTAACAAATTATATTTCTAGTAAATCAAAATTATGTTAAGTTATTCGTCTAATATGTAACTTAAACGAAACGTCAAGTAACTCACATGTAATATCATCCTTTAACAAGATTGTTCTTATCAAATCATTAAAATTTATCGTTCCTTGCAAGATAGTTTGCAAATATTTTGTTTACTGGATCATAATTAATTTTACATAAATACTTAGCTAACAATAAGTAAAAGTGACTTGATTATTCGCATACGATATGACGAAATATTATCAATGGCAATGTAATATAAGTTTATCCACTTGGGATATGTTATCCGAATTTTCCGCTTTTCCAGTAAAACGAACATACGCAGTTCCCTATGTTATCCACGTTTACCGACCAAGGGAGTTTTTTATCAACCCCTTATCGGCATTTGTAAGGGTTGAAAGCGACTAAACGACCATCGATCCATTGCACAATTTATTAAACGTGAGAAGGCTACGTTTTATTTTATTAAAATTTGTCATGCTATCGTTCAAAAATCAAAACACAAAAATTTTAAAGAGTTTAAAAAATTTTCTCAAAATAAAAAGCTATGTGAAATTTCTCGCGTGGAAAATATTGCAAGTAAATAAATAAAATAACATTTTTTTTATAAATAAGATACATTTGCAAATTATAAATTACATTTCTCTAAAAATCATTATCGTAAACACTATTATTCCTACAATAATAAATTCATGAAACAATCCAAGACATGAAAAATTTGACTAAAATATATTTTTTGCATAACAAATGGCTTTAAAATTACTATGTGCATTTTTCGCAGAAATAAATGTTTTTTCGCATTTTTCTCTCTCGTCCTATATTAAATCGACAATATAAATTTTTCATAATGTCGCGTAAATTATATATGTAAACATCATTAAAATGAATAAATTCGGTATGTGATTAATTTACTAATGTATAAAATATATAAAATGTGTACCGAGCAAAATAAACTTCGACATACACATATTTAAACGATCTATATAATTATTAAATAAACAATGACTTTACGTAATCCATTAACGTTTCTTCTCGAATATTAGATATATGATCAATATACAAATATGAAACAAGAAATATTAAAAACAATGGCAAGAGCTGAATTTATTCAATTTTTATACTTTATGCGTTTATTTGTACTCTGACAATGAAAGAAAATAATATCAAACATCATTAATAAATTTTCCAGCACAGCGGAAAAAAAGAAAACCACTTTTATTTCATTTTCTCATTCGCTTCATCTATTTTCTGAATGATTTCAATGCCAACCGGCAGCATAACTCGTGTCAGTATAAAATCAATATTCGACAACGTAACGCCGCAGATAATTTAACGGATTTTTTATTGTGTTGCCCTGAAACTCAATTACACCGCAGTAAAAGCGAAATGTCATAGCAAATTTGATTGATAAAGAAAAAAGGTTTATTGACGTCAAAATCGTAAAGTAATTACCCGTATCTGATACATGTTTACAAAATAAATATTATAGCAAATTCAAATGCTAACAAAAAAACAAATGCAATATGCGTATCAAATAAATCTATTGACATTTCATGTGCGCAATAAATAATGTACTAAAATATTAGAAAATATCTAAAAGAAAAACAAGTCAAAATAAAATAAAATCTAATGAACCTATTCACTTATGATGTATTAAGATTCACGTAAGATAAAAATGTTGAAAACAATTTCTTCAATTACTTTTAGCTACAATGAAATTAATTGTACTATAACAATAAATAATTATTTGTTATAAAAAAACAAAATTATTGCGCAAAAACAAGAAAGAATACATTGAATTAAAGTTAACAAAATTAGCTGAGCAAAACTTTAGACGCTAGAGATTTGTCGAAGCAAGCCATTTGTCTTGTTTCCGACTCTATCTCCTTCCGACTCTATTCTTATTGCATTGCTAGTCTTGCTAGAAAAAAAAGTTCGTTTTAAGAGATCGTTCTCTGAACACGGCTTTTCAACCAACACTTATCGACCATCTACGACCTTCGGTTGCAATGCCTTTAGTACATAATGCAGTACAATAGTCACTGCCCTCTCGTGTTGAGAAATACTGCTCTGTGCAAGCATAATCGTGACAAACACGGAAACTACACACAGAACAAATCTGCACAATCCACCAAAACATAAACAAAACATGACAATCGCAGATAAGTAAGACGAGTTTCACATTACGAGTTGCAAGTAATCACGAATAAGTGCTGTATTCGACACAAAGGAAAAATTTTGTACAAAATTGTGATTAAACTATAATCGCGAAGTACATGCACATTGATATATAAGAGAAAAAGACTGACAAAATTTGACAATTTCGTCCAGCACCAGCTTTCCTCCATATCATACAGAACAGCCGCGAGCAAACTTTTCCTATGACACTCTTGTCGCTCAGAATTCCACGAATTTTACCTTTATTCACGAAGCAGCTGTGAGTCTACTACGAGATGAAAGGAAGACAAAGTGATTGGCGATACTCTACTGACCGCATATCTGTGTCTGACAACAATATACTTTAAATTCGTCTAATTAACTTTTTTTTCATACTATACGTTATATACAGACATTTGTGTCTAGTATTAAATAAAACACTTTAGCGCGAAATTTTTATTACGGACATCGATTAACCCCATCAATGTTTTCGAGAGATAATGAAAAACAATTTTAAAGAAACTATAACGATATAAATTGCCATTTATGTTGATATAACTGAAATCCATTCCATCGTGCGTTCTCGCTCGCATGACATAAACGTATCAGCGACTTTATAAGTTTGAACGCACGAAAAGAAACAATATTAAAATTCACGATAGAAATTGAATTTCTCAGTTATTTCGGGTAGACACTTGCTTGTGGTGTTGTTGTCCAAAATAAATCTTCGTTATTTCCGCAAGAACAGAAAATTACTGTCAGGACTGTTGGCCAAAAAATGCAATGCGTTGCATTAACTAGTAGATAAAATGTGTCTGACAAATCAAGAATAAAACTAATTGTAAGAACAAATTTGAATTAATATGACATCTAGACAGCATTCATAAGATAGAACATTAAAAACAGAATAAGAAAAACCAATTCAATTTCATATAATGTACTTACAGATTACATAAAAAAATAATTATTACGTGAAGTGTAAAATCTATGATACTACTATACCACTTTTTTACACGACGCACTTAAAAATCCATATCATAGAAAAACATCAAGAGATTTGAACAACAATCTAAAGAAATAACACTATGCTTGAGCCATGAAGAAATGCCGAAAATTAAAAGACGAAGATAGTAAGACTTTATTCATATCCGCCAAGAAATGTAAAGCAAGTAAAAACAGAAAAAATCTTCTTCAAAAAAGAAAAAAGAAGAAATTACGTTAATAATAACGTTCTCATTAATAATATTATGAATTAATTTTCATCTCAAATTCAATTGCAAATTATAAATCGTCTCAAGCGAGCTTAATTTTACGGAAACTAATCTCACATATCTATGCTTAGTTAAACGACAGTTTTAAAATTAATTATTTACGGCAGTATTAAACATAGCGGACTCAACATGCGCGCGCGAAAAGTACTTGAATTCAACTTGTAACAATTTTTCTGACTGAAAGGCGATGTATTCAAAAAACAATCCGCGCATAGAACAAAATTTGAAAAATATCGACTTGTATCACTCTTCTTGCAAGTGGGCGCTATTATTACTAATATTATTATAATAATAATTGTTGCTCTTTTACATAACAAGCACACAGAAAATCAGATATTAGCCGAGAAAACTTTAACGATTATAGACTTAAATAATTATAAATACTTGATAAAGCAGGTGACATGTATAATTATTAAAATGTACATTTCATAAATATTGTATGTACAATCATGATTAATATTAATTTAAGATAACATATATGTTTTATATTATAAAATATAAAATATAATTTTTTTGCGCACGCGCGTGTGTATATGTAATTATAAATTTTAAATGTTTAACGTGTAAATCGCGATTTTACGAAGAAAGCAATCGCGTTATTCAATTTTGTTCTGTTGGATTACAGCGAGAGTGGCCTAATACCAGGCCGAAAAGTTTGTAAACATTTCTCATAATATATACACCGTACTATTCGCACTCGGACGTTGCGTTGAATCGTTCAGTCCGTTTTCAACTTAGTGAGTTACTAGCGCTCTGTCGTAAAAGACGAAGACAATGTCTATATCACGGGATACTAAAAAAGACCGTAGCGAGTTTTTGCAACATTTCCAAGTAAAGAAGAATTTCAGAGCAGTATGTAAATTGTGTTTGTCAAACAGAAAAAACATGAGTTACGTTGATACATCGAACATAAATAAGCATTTAAAAAAAAAACATCCTAATGTAAAACTACAAGAACATTGGATATGGAAACATTTCGAAAAAATTACCGATTCAGAAGCTAAATGCAAAATGCGGAAATGCGACTGGAGCTCGACGATACACAAAACAACGTACCATAATCTAAAATATCATTTATCAACGCGACACAATATATCGCCACCAAAGAAAGACAATAAGCAATATAGCTTGGTGTGGAAATATGTTGAACAGTATAATAAATTTAGTGTAAAATGTAGAGACTGTGAAAAACAAATGAAAAAGAAGATTATACAACTTTCTCTTACACAAGACGTATTCGGACACCTTATAGATAAACATGGAAAGACTTCGGCAATAGTACAAGAACGAAACGATATATCTAAACCATCAACAAGTGCACAAAAGTAAAAAAAAGAATAGCGAGTTTTATTAATATTTATATATTACAAAATTTTATTTTCTTTAAAAAACAATTAATGCGCTCTTACATATATATATATGTATATGTATATATATTGTATATATAATGTGCACACTCTACTCCAGACAATCAGCATTTGTAT